GACAAGGTTCCGGACGCTGAGGACAAGGTTCCTCACGGTGAGGACAAGGTTCCTCACGGTGAGGACAAGGTTCCTGGCGCAGAGGACAAGGTTCCTGATGCTGAGGACAAGGTTCCTGACGCTGAGAACAAGGTTCCTGACGCTTAGGACAATGATCCTCGCGCTGTGAACAAGGTTACCGACGCTGGGGACAAGGTTCCTGGTGCTGAGGACAAGGCTCCTGACGCAGAGGACAAGGTTCCTGGCCCTGAGGACAAGGTTCCTCACGTTGAGGCAAGGTTCGTGGCGCAGAAGACAAGGTTCCTGACGCTGACCACAAGGTTCCTGGCGTTGAGGACAAGGTTTCTGACGCTGAGGACAAGGTTCCTGACGCTGAGGACAATGTTCCTGGCACTGTGAACAAGGTTACTGACGCTGAGGACAAGGTTTATGGCGCTGAGGACAAGGTTTCTGACGCGGAGGACAAGGTTTCTGGCGCTGGGGACAAGGTTCCTGACGGTGAGAACAAACAAGGTTCCTGACGCTGAGGACATTGTTCCAGATGGCGATGACAAGGTTCCTGGCGCTGAGGACAAACAAGGTTCCTGACGCTGAGGACAATGTTCCTGGCGCTGTGGACAAGGTTACTGACGCTGACGACAAGATTCCTGGCGCTGAGGACAAGGTTCCTGACGCTGAGGACAAGGTTCCTGGCGCTGAGGACAAGGTTCCTGACGCTGAAGAGAAGGTTCCTGACGCTGAGGACAAGGTTACTGACGCTGAGGACAAGGTTCCTGGCGTTGAGGAGAAGGTGTCTAACGCTGAGGACAATGTTACTGGCCCTGAGGACAAGGTTTCAGGTGGCGCTGAGGACAAGGATTCTGGTGCCGAGGACAAGGTCCTGGCGCTGAGAACAATCTTCCGATCCTGGCGCTAACGACAAGGATCCTGACGCTGAGCCCAAGGTTCCTGGTGCTGAGGAGAAGGTTCCTGGCGCTGAGGACAAGGTTCCTGACGCTGAGGACAACGTTCGCTTCGGACACCGTTCCAGGCGCGGAGGTCAAGGTTCCTGGCGTTGAGGACAAGGTTCCTGGCGCTGAGGACAAACAAGGCTCCTGGCGCTGATGACAATGTTCCTGGCGCAGAGGACAAGGTTGCTGACGCTGAGGACAAGGTTCCTCACGCTGAGGACAAAGTTCCTGACGCAGAGGCTAAGGTTCCGAACGTTGAGGCAAGGTTCCTGGCGCAGAGGACAAGGTTCCTGACCCTGAGCAAAAGGTTCCAGGCGCTGAGGACAAGGTTACTGGAGCTGAGGACAAGGTTCATGGCGCTGAGGACATGGTTCCAGATGGCGCTGAGGACAAAGTTCCTCGCGCTGAAGACATGGTTCCAGATGACGCTGAGTACAATGTTCCTCGCGGTGAGGACAACGTTCCTGAAGCTGAGGACAATGTTCCGGACGCTGAGGACAAGGTTCCTCACGGGGAGGACAAGGTTCCTGGCGCTGAGGACAAGGTTCCTGACGCTGAGGACAAGGTTCCTGACGCCGAGGACAAGGTTCCTGACACTGAGGACAATGTTCCTGGCGCTGTAAACAAGGTTACTGACGCTGAGGACATGGTTCGAGATGGCGCTGATGACAAGGTTGCTGGCCCTGAAGACATGGTTCCAGATGACGCTGAGGACAAGGTTCCTGGCTGTGAGGACAATGTTCCTGGTGCTGAGCACAAGGTTCCTGACGCTGAGGACAAGGTTTATGGCGCTGAGGACAAGGTTCATGGCGCTGAGGACATCGTTCCAGATGGTGCTGAGGACAAGGTTCCTCGCGCTGAAGACATGGTTCCAGATGACGCTGAGGACAAGGTTCCTGGCGGTGAGGACAATGTTCCTGGCGGTGAAGGACAAGGTTCCTGACGCTGAGGAGAAGGTTCCTGACGCGGAGAACAATGTTCCGGACGCTGAGGACAAGGCTCCTCACGGTGAGGACAAGGTTCCTGGTGCAGAGGACAAGGTTCCCGGCGCAGAGGACAAGGTTCCTGACGCTGAGCACAAGGTTCCTGGCGTTGAGGACAAGGTTCCTGACCCTGAGGACAAGGTTCCTGACGCTGAGGATAATGTTCCTGTTGCTGTGAACAAGGTTACTGACGCTGAGGAAGAGGTTTCTGGCGCTGAGAACAAGGTTCCTCAGGGTGAAGCAAGGTTCCTGGCGCAGAGGACAATGTTCCTGACGCTCAGCACAAGGTTCCTGGCGTTCAGGACAAGGTTCCTGACGCTGAAGACAAGGTTGCTGACGCTGAGGACAATGTTCCTGGCGCCGTTAACAAGGTTGCTGACGCTGAGGACAAGGCTTCTGGCGCTGAGGACAAGGTTCCTGACGCGGAGGACAAGGTTCCTGGCGCTGGGGACAAGGTTCCTAACGGTGAGGACAAACAAGGTTCCTGACGCTGAGGACATTGTCCAGATGGCGCCGAGGACAAGGTTCCTGGCGCTGAGGACAAACAAGTTTCCTGACGCTGAGGACATTGTCCAGATGGCGCCGAGGACAAGGTTCCTGGCGCTGAGGACAAACAAGTTTCCTGACGCTGAGGACAACGTTCCTGACGCTGAAGACAAGGTTCCTGGCGCTGAGGAGAAAGTTACTGACGCTGAGAACAAGGTGCCTGCCGCTGTGGGCAAGTTTCCTGGCGCTGAGGACAAGGTTCCAGGTGGCGCTGTGGACAAGGTTCCTGACGGTGAGAACAAGTTCCTGCCTCTGAGGACAAGGTTCCCGGCGCTGAGGACAAAAAAGTTTGCTGACGCTGAGAACAATTTTTCTGGCGCTGTGGACAAGGTTACTGACGCTGACGACAAGATTGCTGGTGTTGAGGACAAGGTTCTTGATACTGACGACAAGGTTCCTTGCGCTGAGGACAAGGTTCCTGACGGTGAGGACAAGGTTCCTGACGATGAGGACAAGATTCCTGACGATGAAGACAAGATCTTGGCGCTGAAGACAAGGTTTCTGTCGCAGAGGACATTGTTCCAGATGGCACTGAGGACAAAGTTCCTCCCGATGAGGACAAACAAGGTTCCTGCCGCTGAGGACAATGTTCCTGCCGCTGTGGACAAGACTACTGACGCTGAGGAAACGGTTCCTGGCGCTGAGGAGAAGGTTGCAGGTGGCGCTGAGGACAAGATTCCTGCCGCTGAGGACATGGTTCCTGGCGCTGAGGACAATGGTGCTGACGCTGAGGACTAGGTTCCTGGCGCAGTGGACAAGGTTACTGACGCTGAGGACAAGGTTCCTGATGCTGAGGACAAGGTTCCTGTCGCTGAGGACAAAATTCCAGGTGGCGCTCAGGACAAGGTTCCTGACGCTGAGAACAAGGTTCCTGACGCTGAGGACAAGGTTCCTGGCGCTGAAGACAAGGTTCCAGGTGGCGCTGAGAACAAGGTTCCCGACGGTGAGGACACGTTCCTGGCGTTGAGGTCAAGGTTCCAGGTGACGCCAACGACACGGTTCCAGACGCTGAGGACGAGGTTCCAGGTGGCGGTGAGGACAAGGTTCATGGCGCTGAGGACAAGCAAGGTTCCTGGTGCTGATGACAATTTTCCTGGCGCAGAGGACAAGGTTCCTGAAGCTCAGGACAAGGTTCCTCACCCTGAGGACAAAGTTCCTGACGCTGAGGCCAAGGTTCCTAACGGTGAGGCTAGGTTCCTGGCGCAGAGGACAAGGTTACTGGAGCTGAGGAGAAGGTTCATGGCGCTGAGGATGCGGTTCCGGATGGCGCTGATGACAAGGTTCTTCGCGCTGAAGACATGGTTCCAGATAACGCTGAGGACAAGGTTCCTGGCGGTGAGGACAATGTTCTTGGCGCTAAGGACCACGTTCCTGACGCTGAGGGCAAGGTTCCTGACCCTGAGGACAAGGTTCCTGACGCAGAAGACAACGTTCCTGACGCTGAGGACAAGGTTCCTGACGTTGAGGAAACTGTTCCTGGCGCTGTGAACAAGGTTACTGACGCTGAGGACAAGGTTTCTGTCCTTGAGGACAAGGTTCCTGTCGCTGAGGACAAGGTTCATGGCGCTGAGGACATGGATCCAGATGGCGCTGAGGACAAGGTTCCTGGCGCTGTAGACGTGGTTCCAGATGACTGTGAGGACAAGGTTTCTGGCGGTAAGGACAATGTTCCTGGCGCTGAGGACAAGGTTTAAAGTGGCGCTGAGGACAATGTTCCTGGCGATGAGGACAAACAAGGTTTCTGGCGGTGAGGACAAGGTTCCTGGCGGTGAGGACAAGGTTCCTGACGCTGAAGACAATGTTCCTGGCGCTGAGGACAAGGTTACTGGAGCTGAGGAGAAGGTTCATGGCGCTGAGGATGCGGTTCCGGATGGCGCTGATGACAAGGTTCCTCGCGCTGAAGACATGGTTCCAGATAACGCTGAGGACAAGGTTCCTGGCGGTGAGGACAATGTTCTTGGCGCTAAGGACCACGTTCCTGACGCTGAGGGCAAGGTTCCTGACCCTGAGGACAAGGTTCCTGACGCAGAAGACAACGTTCCTGACGCTGAGGACAAGGTTCCTGACGTTGAGGAAACTGTTCCTGGCGCTGTGAACAAGGTTACTGACGCTGAGGACAAGGTTTCTGTCCTTGAGGACAAGGTTCCTGTCGCTGAGGACAAGGTTCATGGCGCTGAGGACATGGATCCAGATGGCGCTGAGGACAAGGTTCCTGGCGCTGTAGACGTGGTTCCAGATGACTGTGAGGACAAGGTTTCTGGCGGTAAGGACAATGTTCCTGGCGCTGAGGACAAGGTTTAAAGTGGCGCTGAGGACAATGTTCCTGGCGATGAGGACAAACAAGGTTTCTGGCGGTGAGGACAAGGTTCCTGGCGGTGAGGACAAGGTTCCTGACGCTGAAGACAATGTTCCTGGCGCTGAGGACAAGGTTACTGGAGCTGAGGAGAAGGTTCATGGCGCTGAGGATGCGGTTCCGGATGGCGCTGATGACAAGGTTCCTCGCGCTGAAGACATGGTTCCAGATAACGCTGAGGACAAGGTTCCTGGCGGTGAGGACAATGTTCTTGGCGCTAAGGACCACGTTCCTGACGCTGAGGGCAAGGTTCCTGACCCTGAGGACAAGGTTCCTGACGCAGAAGACAACGTTCCTGACGCTGAGGACAAGGTTCCTGTCGTTGAGGAAACTGTTCCTGGCGCTGTGAACAAGGTTACTGACGCTGAGGACAAGGTTTCTGTCCTTGAGGACAAGGTTCCTGGCGCTGAGGACAAGGTTCATGGCGCTGAGGACATGGATCCAGATGGCGCTGAGGACAAGGTTCCTGGCGCTGTAGACGTGGTTCCAGATGACTCTGAGGACAAGGTTTCTGGCGGTAAGGACAATGTTCCTGGCGCTGAGGACAAGGTTTAAAGTGGCGCTGAGGACAATGTTCCTGGCGATGAGCACAAACAAGGTTTCTGGCGGTGAGGACAAGGTTCCTGGCGGTGAGGACAAGGTTCCTGACGCTGAGGACAATGTTCCTGGCGCTGAGGACAAGGTTAAATTAAGGTGGCGCTGAGAACAAGGTTTAATTAAGGTGGCGCTGAGGACAAGGTTCCTGGCGATGAGGACAAACAAGGTTCCTGGCGCCGAGGACAAGGTTCCTGACGGTGAGAACAAGGTTCGTGACGCTGAGGACAAGGTTCCTCACGCTGAGGACACGCGCGGAGGTCGTCGTACATTCTCGTCACTCATTCTTGTAAGTTATGTTGTATATTATTTAACTGACAGGTAGAGAAATGAGAGAACTTAAACCATGCATTAAACATAGTCTGAATAAAGCTTTTATTATTATATTATTTTTTGAGAATCTAGTTTTCCGTAAAATTGCTTTTTTAAGACACGTGAATCGTGAAACGGCTTTGTTTTCGTTGTGAAACGTGATCTCACCCCCTTTCCCATCCTCTATTGTGCTCACCACTTTCTGGTTCTCGAAACAGCTTTTTCTTATATTATAAAAAGATGCCACGCTCTTTTGCCAACAACATCTATTCACGACGAAAGCGAACTGAATGCTTCGTTACACTTCATGCAAACTTTCAGGCGAATGTAATCGTTAATGTCCCGCTGGCTCTAAGGATAAGGTTCCCGACGCTGAGGACAAGGTTCGCTGAGGACAATGTTCCTGATGCTGAAGACAAGGTTCCTGGCGCTGAGGACAAGGTTCCTGGCGCTGAGGACAAGGTTCCCGACGCCGAGGACAAGGTTCGCTGAGGACAAGGTTCGCTGAGGACAATGTTCGCTGAGGGCAAGATTCCTGATGCGGAGGACAAGGTTCCTGGCGCTGAGGACAAGGTTCCTGGCGCTCAGAACAAGGTTCGTGACGCTGAGGACAAGGTTCCTGGCGCTGAGGACAAGGTTCCTGATGCTGAGCACAAGGTTCCTGGCGCTGAGGACAAGGTTCCTGGCGCTGAGGAGAAGGTTCCTGACGCTGAGGGGAACGTTCGCTGAGGACAAGGTTCCTGATGCTGAAGACAAGATTGCTGGCGCTGAGGACAAGGTTCCTGATGCTGAGGACAAGGTTCCTGTCGCTGGGGACAAAGTTCCTGGTGGCGCTGAGGACAATGTTCCTGGCGCTGAGAACAAGGTTCCTGGCGCTGGGGACAAGGTTCCAGGTGGCGACGACGACAAGGTTCCTGATGGGGAGGACAAGTTCCTGGCGCTGAGGACAAGGTTCCAGGTGGCACTGAGGACAAGGTTCCAGGTGGCGCTGAGGACAAGGTTCCTGGCGCTGAGTTCAGGGTTCCAGGTGGCTCTGAGGACAAGGTTCTTAGCGCTGAGGACAAGGTTAATAGCGCTGAAAGTACAAACCAAGATAAATCGACCATGAAATCGTTAAATGGAAATGTGCTTAACATGCCGACTAATCTACATAAGGTTTCTAATGAATGCGCAGAGCACGTAAATACAACTAATCCCCCGAGAGACACAAACAATAAATATAAATGGGACTCTGAAATTAGTGTATTGAAAGCCAAATTTGAAAGGTTCGCTCAAATCCTAACGAATAAGTTAGAAGATATTTCCTTTGAAGTAAACAACATCAGAGAGTACAAACCGTATTCTATCTTAGTATTGGAAAATACAGTTAATGATTTAGAACAGGAGAAGCATGAGTTGAGCAAGAAGAACGATGATCTTAGGGAATTAAATATGACTATGTCTCACACCATATCGGACTTGAGATTAGCTAATAAGAACCTTGAAAGTGAAAAAGCAAGTTTGTTGACAGCCTTGAAACTAATTCAAGGCGACTGCACACGGATGACTGAGACAGCACATTTTGGGGAGAAAACCACAAAACCTAATAAATACAACTCAGCGAATTATCTTAATGATGATATTGAACAAACCTGTCCACGCGAGGTGGCAGATTGCACAAAGCAGAGAAATGAAATACCGAATACAAACATTCCATTACGTAACAGGTATTCTGCTCTTCGTTTCGAAGAAAACGCTATAAATGACGAGAATGAACATCACGCCTGCCAAAACGAACATCACGCCGGCCAAAACGAAGATAATGCAACCAGAAACAGGCAAGATAAAACTCCGAACCAGAGAAAGCAAAATGTAAAGAAAGGAGATACCAACGAAAAAATAACTACCGTTATAGTTGGCGTTGGTTTTAATGTTTTATTATGAGGGTGGGTGGGAGGACTGAGTGAAGGAAGGGGGATTATTCTGTGTAAAGAGAGTTTAGTGAGCAGCATATATATATATATATATATATATATATATATATATATATATATATATATATATATATATATATATATATATATATATATATAGGGTGTATAAAAAAAAGCGCAATCCTCGACTGAAATGTAAATTGCTAAACAAATAATAGACGAAAACGTTAAAGTTTACATTCATTTTAAAGCGTAGCCATTCAGCTTTCTAACAGTTTGTTGTTTCTTAAATTTGACTCATTGGTTCGCGGGTAATAATACTTTACGTTATTGCGATTGGAGATTAAAAAAATTGAGATGGAATAACAAGTCGTTCTCATGAAAATAGCTGATTTTTTCATTAAAACAAAAAATGTTGCATTTTATTAAATGGATTGTAACAATAAGTATAATTACGGCTTTTCTTCCACTGTTTTTAACTCAGTTTGAAACTTCAAATGCGATATAATTTTGGCTTGGACTATCTAAGACTAAGCTGACTGACATCAAGTTGCTGTAATTTCTGTTTACATTACATCGCAATTCGATGACACTCTGGCTCAGACACCAGAATGTTTTGACGATTTTTAGTATTCGTTTAGGATTTTCAAACAACTGGTCTCTTTTAAAATACTTTTAATTTGTTCTTACGTGGTTTTCCAGATGTAGTGACGACAACATTAATGTTTAAAGAAGAAAATTCTAACATTTAGACTGACTAAACAATAACATAGTAAACTTACATAATTAAACAGCAACTAAAAATGATAAGTTTTACTAAATCTTTTCCTGTGCTATTATTACTAGCATTGGAGACAAGGATAATAGTTTGTTTGAAAGAGAAAAGAACAGGCTTTGAAGTAAGCCTAAAAGCGTTTAACTAGAAATAGTATTTCGAAAGTTATTAAGCACAAAAGATGAATTGCGTTTATTTTGATACACCCTGTATATATATATATATATATATATATATATATATATATATATATATATATATATATATATATATATATATATATATATATATATATATATATATCTATATATATAGCATATCGAAGCAACCCAGACTAAAATCTATTTCCAAGTCGCCATATGGAACAGTTATTACAAAAAAGTGTTATATACATGGGGCGTCAATGCAGTTTTAACAATCATCTGCAGTTTTTCTGATTAATCGAGCTTGCCATACATGCACTATCATCAAGTAAGTCTCCATTTTATACTCAAGTCGCATTACTATAAGACTGAAGACCCTGTCTACATTTTATTCTAGCCATTTTAATTTATTTTCAATTTAATTTAATTAATTTACGATAAGAATTATTAGTATAAAATGTCCCAAAGCATCGATCATATAATCTGCTTTCACAAAATAAAGATTACAGCACAAAAAGCACACATGCAGAGATGGGCTTTGCGGCGGCAGTATATAGACCACTTTGATCAACACAGCTGATGTGTTTAACGTTATGCACATTTCACTAAGCCTTCTCGACCTCGTTATTGTTCATAAATATTACTCGTTCTTGATATTCTAACTTAGTGTCCTTATACGAGGAATTTACCTCCGACGTGACTCGAACCCGCAATCTTCGGCTTAGAAAGCCGACGCCTTATCCGTTAGGCCACGGAGGCTTACATAGGAAACAAGAATAGCTCTACCACCTTGTAATGCCTAAAAAAAGGCATATTCCAATGATAAACTTCGAAAACATTCTACGAATACCCAACTATTTAGTCGTGTTAATATAAATTTACTTCCTTTAACTGGCATTATAATATTAGTCTAGGGCCTGTATATGAGTTTGTATGTGTTTTATTTACCACAGGTAATTTCAATTGTTTTATGGTAAAATGACCATGGCGGTCAACATGGCATATGTGCCAAAACTTGAATCCGGGACGAAAGTCCTGAAAATGACCCTGCCATGAAACGGCAGTGTCCACATAGCTCTAACTTCCGAAAAGCAAAAGCAATTGCCTTTCTGAAGTGCTTATAGTGTTTAGAAGAGTTGCTTTTAGGAGTGGTCATTGGAAGGAAAAATTTGTCTAAGTATAATATTTTACAAGAAAATTACCATGCACCACCACAGGTAAATTGCTAATTATGCATAAAATAACTAATATGCCTGGCAGAAATTAAATTTTCTTGTTTCCTAAAAAAATATCATGGGGTGAAAAACTATGCGCAATTTAATATAATTATTGTGGATTTCATAAGGATTGTCATTATTTTCATTTCAGCCATATTTTGCCGTCTTGTTTGCTTTTCATTCGCCGAGTCTCGCAAATATCATCCAGTTGTTGTACATTTACATAATGATAAATGGCTAAAGAAGATTTTCAGCCAAGTTTTATGAAGTTTTGAAACAGTGCAGTGTATTTTATCTTCGATATTGTGTCATTCGATATTTCGTGAAATATGGCGCCATTGCAATGCCTCGCCGCTTCTCTTCCCGATAAATGCCACTTCTTCGTCTTCATATGTATTTAGATTTCATTATCCAGAAGTAATTAATTGTAGAATAGTCCCAATCG